GAAGTCAGTGGATTCTGGGCATGAAATGTTTTGCCACAGGGGCCAAACAGCAGTTGATGTAACTGTGATGAACATGGTGATAGAAGTCCCAGAAAACGAGTTGGTGTTTCAGCCCCCTTTGCCTGGGGTTAGGTCTGGAGAGCAGACCTGTGGACTGTGTGAGCTTATGGCAAGGTTGCTCTTTTGAGAAACCCTTCCTTCTTGAAGAGAGAATTTTGATGTCTGGTCAGAAACCAGAGAATAATGAATAGAAATAGGAGGGCGGGAGGAGGAAAGTGATGAGGGCTGGGTGTGGGACATGGATGGGCCCTCTGCAGTCAAGGGTAGGACTTGTGAAGCTGTGGTTGCTATGGAAATCCAAATCTCCTCCCAAAGTGCCCATTGTGATTCAGGACGATAGCCTTCCCACGGGGCCCCCCCCACAGATCCGCATCCTCAAGAGGCCCACCAGCAACGGTGTGGTCAGCAGCCCCAACTCCACCAGCAGGCCAGCCCTTCCGGTCAAGTCCCTAGCACAGCGGGAAGCAGAGTACGCCGAGGCCCGGAAGCGGATCCTGGGCAGTGCCAGCCCTGAGGAGGAGCAAGAGAAACCCATCCTCGACAGGTGAGTGTAGCTGGCAGGGCTGACCAGCCACCACCCCACCAGGCCACCTGAGTTGCAGGGGAGAGGGAGAGGGTGGAGCCTGGCTGCATGTAGAGCAGTGAGAAGCTGGCTGGAATCAACACAGCTCCAGCTGCCAGCCCTAGCCTTCTGGGGCCGGTTCATTTCACTGCCTGGCTCGTGGACTGCTCCAAGAGCTTTGAGGTCATGCTTTGCTGGACACTGCCTGTGCAGGCACCAGGGGGCAGTGTGGCATAGAGGTTCGAGGCATGGACTTTGAGTCAAAACCTGCTGGAGCCGGAGTCCACCTCTGCCACTTATATCTGTTTAACTTAGAGCTGCTCAACCTCTCTGTGCCTCCATAGCCTAATCTGAAAAATGGGATAAGGATAATACCTGTCTCATCAAGTTGTCGTGCAGTTAAATGAGCATAGGATTCTGGGAACCCTGCCTGGCTCGATGGAAAATGCCCAGTTCAGTGCATAGATGTTATCTTTTGGGTCTCATAATAGCCCACTGTGATGTTTTTGTGAATTTTCTAATTTTTTTTTTTTATTTCTGGTATTTTCATCTCTGCTGCTCTAGAGGTTGTATTTAAGTTTGTCCCCTCCTGGTAAAGCAATATTTGTTCAAACAGCCTCTTTCTAACATTGAAAGGCCTCTTTGAGCTCAGTATTCTGGCAGTTGAAGAACTAATGTATGTACCTTCCTTCTGTCCCTTTATTATTTTGGTAGGCTTCCATTATCTCTCCTCTAAGCTTTCACTTGACAGAGTAGAAAAAGTCCATTTCCTTTTAGTCTTCCATAGTAATATGAGTCAACGATTAACCACGTGACTTGGAGAGAAGCAGGAGGACAGCAATGGCGGGAGCCAGGACTGTGGGTTAGGGGTCTTTACCTGGGCCCGACACCCTGGAGAGTCTGTGCCACATGGTTCTGTGGGGGGTGTGCTGTGCATGGTCATTGCCACTGGACAGCGTGGGCCCTTGAGCACTCCCCCTGCTTCCAGATGAATGACGGTGAGCCAGACTGGGGGAAGAGCTCTGCAGGTGCTCGCTAGAGGTGGACATGGTGGACATGGGCCATCTACCCACCCCGTGCCAGGGCCTCTCAGCCTGGGAGTGTCCTGCGTCTGCTTGCCAGAGAAGCAGGTGCAAGGAACTAGAGTTGGCTGATAGCCACTGTGACTTCTGCCCCAGCCTCAGGAGTAGTTGCTTTTAAGATGTGAGGACCTCTTTTATATCCTTTTTCAGGCTTCCCTCTGATTTTCTTTCCTTCAGGCCAACCAGGATCTCCCAACCCGAAGACAGCAGGCAGCCCAATAATGTGATCCGACAGCCTTTGGGTCCTGATGGGTCACAAGGCTTCAAACAGCGCAGATAAATGCGGGCGAGAAAGGATGCTGCCGCTGCTGCCGTTACCGCCTCCTGGGTCGTCCGCCACGGGTCGCACTGCCGTGGCAGACAGCTGGACTTGAGCAGAGGGAACGACCTGATTTACTTGCACTGTGATCCCCTTTGCTCTGCCCACTGTGACCTTGAACCCCATGCACTGTGACCTTCCCCCTTCCCCCCCCTCCCACTGTGATTGGCACATCTACAAGGGCTGTCCCAAGTCAATGGAAAGGGAAAGGGTGGGGGGCGGTTAGGGAAGGGTTGGGGGGACCCACCAAGGACTCAGAGTAGAGAGTCAGACAGTGCCACTTGGCCACTTGGGGTAAAGCCAGTGCCAGCAATAACAGTTTATCATGCTCATTAATTTGGGATTTCAAAACAAACGAGAACTCCTGTCTACCCACGCCCAAGTGCATGTCTTCATCACTTAAAAGCAAGTTCCATTTGAAAATATCTTTTCTTTTTTTTCTCTTCCTATTTTCATTTGTTTATACAAATACCTGATTTGCAAGAAAAGTGCATGGGAGGGGTTTTAGCAGTTTAATGAATTTTTAATTGAGAAAGGGTAGTTTGGTAGTCTACTTAAAAATGTTTCTGGGAAATTCACTAGAAACATTAACCAATAGGATTTTGGTGAGCTTAGCTTCTGTATTCCTACTGCCGCCCAGAAAAGGGGCAGGGCTCTGTAGCCCCTAGGACAGATGAGCACCCATGCCTATACCTCCCTCTCCCCCAGCTAAGTCCCAGGGCATCATGGCCCTACCTGGAGACTGGGCTAGTTCTACAGGCTCAGAGAGCTTGGGGAGGGTGCCAACCCCACCTCTAGTATTTTGGGAGATAGGGAAAGTGAACAGCTTCCCCTTCCCATACCCTCAGGGTGGTTCCCTACCAGCCAGGCTCGCTTCTTCTGGAAGCGAACAGGGAGTGAGACCGCACTCCTGAGCTTAGAAGTAAAGGATGCAAGACTTGCTCAGTATTTGCTGTCAGCACAAGGAAAGCCGGGAAAGAGCCTGGCTCCAGGACTCAGCTTCCTGCCTAGTGTGGTCAGAGGTGTCTGTGGAGTCCCATCTCTGTTGATGGTGTCAGCTTGGTGACTATAGCTGGTACACTTCCTTTGTGAAATCACTACCTTGGGAGCAGACCATTCTGAAGACATTTGGGAAAGGACAGGCTGTGCATTGCAAAGATTTATGATGACAGACTGGTTCCCCATAGACCTAGGCTACCCTTCACCCTTTTCCAGAGCGAGGACCTGGAAGGAAGGCAATTTCCCCTCTGTCCCTGGAGCCTAGAGATGTGCTTTGGCTCCATGCGATGGAAGAGGCTAAGAGGGCAGCCACCCAGAGCTCTGTGCGTGTGCACAGTCCGGCTCCTCTCAGGCTTTCGGGTCTCCGTTGCACTGCGCCTTATCCCTCAGCCAGCCAGACAGCCTCCCCACTCGGTAGATGAGTTTTGGAGTGGTTGGTGTGACGCTTTGTGATTAGGGCAGCTTGTGTTGCCCAAGGTGGCTAGCTAGGTTTGCAGGCTCGCTCCGCCTTTGGTGCACTTGGCTCTCGGCCTTGCCCTGTGGGAATGTAGGCCAGGCACAGCAGGCCGCGTCCCACTACATTGTCGCCTTGGAAGGAAGGGCAGGCTGCTAGTTGAATCAGCAACTAGGCCGTCGCACAGCCTCATAACTGTGTGAAGCCAGGAAATTGTCCATGAGCAGAGCTGGAACAAAGCTTCAGTCAGAGTCCACCGGGTGCTGAGTTGTACCCACAGACTGTTCTGACGAGGAATTACCTCCAGGAGTGGGCGAGGGAGGGGGTTGGCTACTGTCTTTGTAGTTCCACTGCCCTGACCGAGTTTTCTCCTTCTGAATGCATAGTGTCCATCCCTCATGTAATAGTGGTTTCTTGCCCAAGGTGAGACTGTCCTTTCAGTCGGAGATGGGTACAGAGATAGGTCAGGTGGGAAGGCCGAAGTGCTGATTGTTCAGCCATTGGGACCACCTGTTCTTGCCCCCTTCCCGGAATGGGAGCCAGAGGGAAGGCTGGCTGATGCGTGTCTATGGATCGAGGATGTAGTAGGGACTGGTGTTCCCACCTCCCTCTGGCCAAAGATGGGCTCTGCCCGCTGTGTGCCTGTCACCATCCACCAGCAGTCATGCCCTTGGCTTCCCAGATGGAGAGGTGGCAGGCAAAATTTTTAAAAGAAAGAAATGGAAACAGGAAAACTATTGTGTTGGGGGAGGCGGGAGGGGAGATGGGAGAACGGTTTGGATTTCGTGTGTGTGGGGTTTTTTTGTTGATTTTTTTTTTTTTTTGGTAGTTGTCTGTAACTTTCCTTAAGTGCTTTTTTTAAACTTCATTTTTTTTAAAGTAAGCTGCAGGCTTTGGCTTGGAAAACCCCCGGGGGATGGGGAGGGGGGCAGAAACCTGAGGCTGCTGCCCCTTTATCTGCCTTCATGGTACTGTCCCCTTCCCCCAGCTCCTCCCTGACCCCATGAGCCAGGCCTCAGACCTTCCAGCTAACCGCTTCCCATGAGCCACTACTCTGATGTCAGCCTATAACCAAAGGAGCTGGGGGTCCGGGCCTGGTGACCAACCCTTCTCAGCCCACTCAATCAGGGTGCTCCCCACCTGCAGGCAGGAGGTAACACCCTATCTGCTACCATCAGCCCCTTCCAGAACCCACTGCCCCGCCCTGCCCTGTCCAGCCCAGCCATACCCTGCTCTGCCCCATCTGGGGATGCTCTGCTCAGGGATGGGCTGGCAGGGCTGCCCCAGCCTCCCTGGTAAGCAGAGACTCTGGAAACCTCTGGGGTCCTGTTTTCTGGCCATGTGATCCCAAGGGTGCACATGGGCCCTTTGGGTGTCTGAACAGAAGGGCATGGGAGGGGGGCCGCACCCCTGCAGTCCTGCTCTGCTGGTCTAGCGGGCAGCTGCCCACCCCACCCCACCCCGCACCGCGGGCTCCTGAGTCGGCAGATTAAGCATTTTATAAATTGTATTTTAAATACATGTTTTGAACTTGTCAGAGCCTTGTCCTCATTTCAGTTCCTGGCCTCCTAACCTCTTGCCGTGACTGCTTATGTAACCACTGGGGAGCTACCTCTGCTGAGCCCCAGGAAGGGGCTCACACTCTGTTAGACATGTAGGCGTGGGGGGATGTGAAGGTTGTGGAGCAAGGACCCACACCTTTAGTCTCCAGGGGAAGGGGACCTCTAGGACCTGGGGTGGTTGGTGAGAGCTTGTCTGCGGCCCCTCCTGCCCTCTGTGGAGTCTGCCCCTACTCGGGGTCAGGGTATTGTGTGGGCACTTCCCTTAGGGTAATCATTCCCTTTGAGCAAGTGGGGAGAGAATTCCTGCCCTTGTGGGGCTCCCCGGTCCCAGAGTGCGCAAGAGGTCAAGACTTTGCACCCAGGGCCACCTCTAGCAGAAGCCCTGACGCTGGACAGTGTTTTGAGGTGCATCTTGCTTCAGGGGTTCCCAAGCCTGACAGGCTAAGGCCCTGTACCCTGAGAGCCAAGTGGAGGGGTAGAGACCTGGGGGACGGGGTCTTCCCTGCCACCAGAATCTCAAGGGAGCAGATGGGTGCCCAGGGGTGGGTGCCCAGGGGTAGGGGCCCCAGCACCAGGCACAGGCCGAGGTTCTTGGTATTTACTGGCTTACCAGGCCACAAAGGCAAAACCCAGCAGTATTCTCTGCCTGATGACCTATGCCCAGAGCTGCTCTGCAGGGTCAGTGGGTCCGAGCCGGCACAGAGCTGAGCCACTTTCGGCTGTCAGAGCTGTGTTCCCTAAGGAGAGAGGTGGGGAGAAGGGTGGGAGGAAATGAGCCATCCCCAGGTGCCCATGAGAGGGGGCCATCCCTGGGAAGTGATGGAGCCAGCAGTCGGGCTCAGCCTGGTTCCCAGTTAGGTGTTCTTTTATCCCCAAAATGGTGGGAGGGGTATGCTGCAGGGGAAGTTTCCCTCTACCTAGCCACTAAGCCTGTTGCCCACCACTAACATAGAATCAGACTTGGGCAAAGGACCTGAGAGTAGTGCCACCCTGAGTCCTGGGCACAGGAAAGCGTAAGCAAGCACCCTGACTTAACAATCTACTTGGTACAAAGGCTCTCAACAAAGATTAAGCCCACTTCTTTCTCTTTTTCTCTCCCTGGAGCAACAGCCTCCTGGGCATCATTGTTTGGAAGAATGATTCCCCTCAGGTTAGGCCAGGGGCCTCGTGAGGAAGGAGATGGATGGGCCTGGGCTGGGGCCCCCGCCCTTGGGGTACCCACCTGCTTCCTTGAGATCCTGACTGGAGGAAGAGGCTATGGATGTCGGAACCCAGGCTGGTGGGCGTGCACTGGTCCATGTAGTGGCTGCTCTGCTTCCGGCGGACCGTCTTTTTGTCCAGCCTTGGGCAGAGTGGGATGCAGGGCACCTGGGCATAGGGGCTCTGCAGATTGGCAGCTGGCAAGGGAAAAGGAGGCAGGAGAGGGGAATGCTTAAGAGCATGCCCAGCAGTGGGAGGAGGCAGACCCAGGTGTTATCCTGGCTTGCCACGTAATGAGCTAGGTAGGTTTGGGCAATTTACTGTATCTCCCTAAGCCTCTATATAAGCTGGAGATTATAGTGGTATCCCCCTCACAGTGGATGGGGACTAAAAGTATAGTATATGCAAAATGCCCTGGTGAAAGCTGAGCACAGCAAAAGGGCTAATAGCAGCTTAAAAAGGAGCCGATATTTTTTGCGATGGATCCTGGGTAAGTCTGGTAGGCACACTCTAGACTCTGGAAAGCTCCTAGCCCATCACTTGGTACACAGTAGGCATCTAAAGAGTGGTACCTACTATTATGGAGAGGCCACCTTGCCAGTGGTAAGAGCACAGGTTTTGGAGTCAGATCTGGGTATAAACTGCCCTTTCTGACGTGTTGGCTGTGGGCCTTGGGCAAGTTGCTTAAACTTACCCAGTTTCAGTTTTCTCATCCGTAAAATTGGGTAAATACGTGATTATGAGGATTAAATTCTAGCACATCTGCAAAGGACCTAGCACAATGAGTGACCCCAGTGGATGCTCAAATAAGCGGGAGTGTTAATCACCCTCCCTTCTCAGTCCAGGCTTTTGGGACCTATCTGTGCTTAGGGCGAAGGCACTGGGAAGAGTTCATGCAGAAGGCCTTTGTCAGTGGTCTGGAGATGGGGCAGTGATCATCAGCGTATTGACTGATGGACATGGTTAAGCCCAAAGTGGGAATCCATGTTTCTTAGTTCTTGGGCCTGGCTGT